CACAATCTTTGCCATATTGGAGTTTGTAGCCTAGAAAGAGTATATGTGTGCATTATTTTTCATGAGTCCTAATACTATCTGCCGCAAGTTTTTCAAATTCCTTTCATATGTGCGTAGCAGTTTGCTTGAGGAAAAACAAAAGTTTAAGTGTGGGGGAGTTTGATAACACTAAAACACATAGGTTATTTCAACTTGATTCGCACATGTTTTAGTGTCATTTTATTACATTTTGTAGTGTTACGCTGGTAAATTGTGTATGTTTGAGGTACTTTACAAGTAGGAGTCAATATATGAAGAAACCAGATGAAAACAACACGAAACAGAGAAAATGGGGAGAAAATGCACTGGTGGCGACCTCCATGGCTCCCGTCATGATGTTGGACATGACTAGGACAACATGAGGACCGCCAGAGAGCAAATAAGAAGCAAAGAGACCGGGTCAAGGATCCATTGCGCCCGCCACAGGGCCCGTGGCGCCCGCCACCACTTGTCAGCTGGCCACGATCTCCCATTTACACACGTGGCGACCGCCACACTCCATGGTGAATGCCATGCAGTTCGAAACCTGAAAAATAGCAACAATTATTGACTTGGTTCATCCCCACTCTTCCCATATTTTTCTCCCACGACCTCCACCCTCTGGCCATCATTTTTTCAGCATTGTATCACTATATATTACAAGTTAAACATCATTTTGAGGCATCCAAGTTTTATACGAATTGTGTGTAGTTTATTCTTTCATAGTTTTAGGCATAAATCACTACTGTAAAAGTGGTAGCTTTCTCACATTGGGGAACTACCACACCATTAGTGTTTAGGCCTACAATTTGTGTAACACTTGGATCAATCTTGCCACCATTTGAAGTCTTTTATTTAGTTTTATATTCCAACTTTTATCTTCAAGTTCATTTACTTTCACACTTTTATTTTCTCGCCTTTAATTTCTGCCATTTACTTTTACGCTTTATTTTTCTGTCATAGCTACTATTTCAAGCATCTACCTTTTTCTTCAAACACTGCTTTTAATTATTTTAAAACCGCTTATTATGTCTTCATTCAATTCAAAAACTTAGAATTGTAACTTAAAATTGTTTATTTATTTCCGCAATCATGTCCGACTAAATTTCTAAAGTCTAGGATGTGAAGATCGTCGTTCCGACGGGACTCAGTAAATTCAATGGGCATATAATTTTAACTTGTTTTTTTGGTTCCAATTTTTAAGAGTCAAAATTCAAAGGTTTTTCATGACAATGGAAACATTGAGATATTGGTCAACAAAGCGATCGTGTGAGGCCGGTGTCCAATCGATATTTGCATCTGCGATTTCAAAACACTTAGGTATAGGGAACAATTATGGGTGATGCAGCATCTGTTGAAACTAATAATGATGCAACTAAACTGTGACACACGCACTTGGGTCATCTCAATGAACGTGAGATGATATAACTACATAAGAGGAATTTGCTGGAGGATGTTCGCAGTTGCACAATTGGATTGTGCAAGTATTTTGTTCTTGGAAAATAATGTACAGTTCGTTTCAAGACCAAATAACATAAGACTAATGGAATATTAGACTATGTATATTCTGATGTCCATGGTCCTACAAAAGAGCCATTCGTTGGAGGTTCCAAGTACTTTGTGACATTCATTGATGATTTTTTTTGTAAGGTCTGGGTTTATTTCATGAAATATAAATATGAGGTCTTTTCCAAGTTCAAACTATGGAAGGCAGAAGTTGAGAACAAGACAGTGAGAAAAATAAAGTATTTGTAGTCTGATAATGGAACTGAATACATAGGCAAGAAGTTCATGCATTTTTGTGAGGAAAATGGAATCCATAGGCACTTTTCTGTAAGGATGACACCACATCACAATGGTGTTGCAGAGAGGATGAAATGACTCTAATGGAGAAGGCAGGGTGTCTTCGGTCTTTGAAAAGGTTTTTGGGCAACAAGACTCAATATGGCATGTTATCTAGTTTACAGATCACCACGAGCTTTATTGGATGACAAAGTTGCAGAAGAGGTGTGGACAGGTAATCCCATTGATCTAAGCAATTTGAGGATTTTTAGGTTTTCAACATATGTGCATCTTTATTGGCTACAATAAAGGTGTGAAAGGGTACAAGTTATGGAATTTGGTTAAAAGGAAGGTTATTGTCAACATAGATGTTATATTTGACGAATAGTCGATGTTGAAACACACAAATGTGACAGTTGTTCCAGATACTGATGTAGAAAGTTTCAATCAAGACAAGATTCAAGTGGACAGTAAGGAGCCACCAGTGAGTCCAAGACAGATTGCAGCCCAACAACAGGATTAACCAGACTCAGATTCAGGTGGAGTGTGATATTCGGGTGGAGTACAAGACTATAAACTTATGCTTTATAGGGAACCCCGTCGTATTACACCTCCAGTCAGATATGGGTTTGAAGACTTAGCAGCATATGCTCTTCTTACCTGTTCAGGAGACCTTTCCACCTTTCGAGAGGTTATGGCTAGCCAGGATAAAGATAAATGGATGGGTGCTATGTTAGAGGAGATGGGATCCTTGAAAAATAATGAGACATGGGATCTTGTTTAGATACCACGGGGAAAAAGAGCTATTGGTTGTAAGTGGGTGTACAAGAAAAAGTCAGCAGTAACAGAAAAAGAAGGGGAAAAGTTCTAGGCTCGTCTAGTTGCAAAGGGTATTCACAGCAAAATGGGATTGATGATTATGAGATTTTAAGTCTGATCATTAGACACACTTCTATCAGAGCATTATTGGCCCTGGTAGCCACCAGGAATATGCATTTATAGCAGATGGATATGAAAACAGCTTTCTTTTATGGTAATCTAGAGGAGAAAATCTACATGGAACAGACAAAAGGATTTAGTGATATTGGACATGGCAGACTTGTTTGCAAATTAAATAGGTCTTTGTATGGCTTGAAGCAGTCTTCAAGACAGTGGTACAAGCGTTTTAATTCATACATGCTCTGGATTGGCTATATAAGGTGTGATTATGATTGTTGTGTTTATGTGAAAAGCCTTGATGATGACTCTTTTATTTTCCTGTTACTTTATGTTGATGATATTGTTGCCAACCATTTGCATGATGTAAATGAGTTGAAAATCAAGTTGGGTAATGAGTTTGATATGAAGGATCTGGGTGTTGCAGAGAAGATTCTTGGGATGGAAATTCACAGGCACCGAAGAGTTAATAAATTATGGTTCTCTCGGAAAAGCTATGCTAAAGGTGTTTTGAGCATATTTGACATGAGCAAAGCAAAGTCTGCGAGTACTCCATTGACAAATCATTTTAAGCTCTCTTTGGAACAATGTCCAAAGACAGACTCAAAGATTGAAGATATGTCTACAATTCTTTATTCCAATGCAGTTGGTTGTTTGATGCATGTTATGGTGTACACTAGACTGGATTTGACACAAGCGGTTAGTCAAGTGTGCAAATTCATGTCCAAGTCAAGGAAGCGGTATTGGGAAGCATTCAAGTGGGTCCTGAGGTACTTGAAGAGTACAACAGATAATGATATCATGTTCAGCAAGGACTAAGGCGTTCCATCAGTTATGAGATATGTTGATTCTAACTATGCAGGTGATCTGGATGATATGAGGTCTACAACACAATATGTCTTTACTCTTACGGGGGGACCTATATGCTAAAAATCACCAGTTCAATTCATAGTAGCTATGTCTACAATTGAGGCAGAATACACGACAGTAGCTGAAGCTGCCAAGGAAGCATTATGGATTACAGGGATAGTGAAAGAGTTAGGTGTTGAGCAAGGTGGAGTTTAGTTGCATTATGATAGTCAGGGTATTATCTATTTGGCGAACAATCAGGTGTATCATGCTAGGACTAAACATATTGATGAAAGGTTTCACAAGATCGGGGGGTTGTTCGTGTCCGGGCAGATATTACTTTAGAATGTTCACGCTTCAGAGAATGCATTTGATATGTTGACCAAGTCAGTCACCAATGACAAGTTCAAACTCTATTTAGACTTATTACATATTTCTCAGTTTTAAGTAGAAGGTGTACCTCCTCAGTTTCCAGGACACATCATTATGTAAGGAGTCTTCGTAGAGTTTGATATTCTTCAAGGTGGAGGTTGTTGAATATGGTTAATATTGTTGAGATAATTATAGGTTGTTAAGATGACTATGCATTGTTAAGAGTATAACTCATATTTATTGAGATAATTATGAGTTGTTGAGATAACTATAGATTGTTGAGAGAATAGCTCGTATTGTTGAGATAATTATTGGTAGAAATAATTGTTTGTAGAAGGAAATTAGAGATTAAGATTTTAGATAAACTAAAACCTCATATCATATATATGGCTTATAACACTGTAATCTATATGCAATTCATAAGACATAAATAAAAAGAATTATAGCTACTCTATAGTCGCAGACGTAGATATTTTGACCGAACTGTGTGAACACAACTTTGTGTTTCTCTTTACTCTGACCTATATTCGTGTTTCTGTTTTAACAACAATTAATCATGTGATAGTTTGTATTAAAAGGCTCAAGGAAGGTCTTAATAGAGGTTTTATGCAAGATCAAATAGCAATAATTTGGTGCAGTGGGTGGCTTGGCACCCATTATATGTATTAGGAGTGTTTCGGGGTAGGGACGAGAGTTGGATCATAAGCTTCGTGAGCTTCAAGGGGCTCTCTAACATCATTCATGCTGAGATTATGGCTCTCTTGTTAGGTTTGAATCTAATATAATATATAAATATAATTAATCTCTTCGTTATGCATGAAGATCTATTTAAATTATCCACTAACAAAATGAAATATTATTAAAATAGGAAATATATTATTACAAATATAGCAAGAATGTAGTTGAGAAGAAAAAATAAGAATAAACAGCACAACACCCTGAATGAAGAATCCAATGGTGTTGTGATGCAGTTCCTAAGTAAAGTGTGCAATCACTAAATCAAATCACTCAATACACAAATAGGATGAATGTAAATTGTAAAATCAGAAAAACATGGAGAAAAAGAGAGTAGACATTGCAAAAATGAAAGTCATGGAAGAAGCATGAATGCTTGAAGCTCCATTTTTGCTTTCAGAAGGACTTGGAACACCAGCTACACAAATTTGTTTTGAAAAAAAATCAAATGTTAAATTCATTCTAGTACAACATTGTTGATTGAAAATATGAATATTAAAATTTTCATAAATTTATATTTTTTTCATTCACATAGCTGAAAATTAATAGAAAAAATAAGGAAAATTACCTGAACTATCAGCTGAATTTGAAGGACTGGGAGGTAATCCTCCTTTTGGTGTCATTGCCATATCTTCATTATTATTTTTTCAACCAAATAAAATTATGTTACCACCAAATCAAGATATATTAAGATTCAATGCATAAAAAATTTCAGACATGCATAATAATTATTTAATATTATTAAAGTGACGAAAGGCATGTTAATTCAACAGATACTGGGACAGAGGTTCGAGCCCTCAATATTCCCCTAGACTATGATACCAAAAAAGTAAAAAACTCACTTGGTGGCATAGATTCTTGACTTGATGGCCCAGGCAAGGACACAGGAACACCAACAGCTGTCATATATAAGAAATGAAATCAATATTTAAATAATCTTCAACATATATATGTAAATCACAATTAAATATTATTTTCCTAGATCTACAAATTATAAATTTTGAACATAAAAAAGGCATTGAGATTTTTACCTGAGCAAGTACTAACAGGAGGAGTAGTAACACCACAGAGTGAAGGAAGCTTAAGAGCTTTCTTAAGATTAATCTTAATCCCAATAGAATCAGAGTTTCCTAAAAGCTGACACAGGCAAATAGGATTACTATCAACCAACCCTGCTAACTCAGGACAACAACCTTTATCCGGCTTTCTCAACTTACTCCCATCTTCTACAAATGTTAAACAATCTGACATGTTTGTTAGAGCCGTCAAGCATCCATTGTCTGCGGTAGGCGATGGAGCTCCGGCGGTCTCCGGAACTGGAGATTCGGCAGCAGGAGTAGGAGCAGATACTCCATGATATGGTAGTGATGCAAGGAATAAAGAAGCAATTGCTAGCAGTGCTAATGGTGTAGTGGCCATTTTGGTGTTTCTGTGATGTCTTTTGAAAATGTGTGTTGAATAGAATAAGAGGTTAAATTGGGTTTTGTGTTATGCATATAGGTGTGGTGTAGTTGGAGTAAATAAATAGAGCGGCTTGATTTGGAAAATTTGGTTTGAACTTTTGGTTGCTGAATTTAATGGATTTTTCTAACAGCTATTAATAGTACTACCTAACTAATTCATTTTGCACCGTATATTTATCATTGGATCCAACTTCTATCCTCTTTAAATTAAAGCTGGTTTGTTTTTTTTATATCCAAATCTGTGATTGAATTTATAAGCTATTTCAATGCAACGGTTGGTGTGAGTTACTATTTCAACAAATTTTATATTGAAAAAAAATGATATAAATAAAATATTTTAATTATAATTTTTCGGAACATAGCATAAAAAAATTATCAACCAAACTGAGCCTTAAGTTGCTTTCTTTGAGTTTTAGATTCACATTTCTAAATAGCTGGCATTCTTGGTGTGAATTAAGTTATGTTATTTTGAGATTGCATGATTAGGCGGAAAATAACATCACATTCACATGTAGTACTAAATAAAGATTGATGGGCAATGATGGAATTTTTTTAGTTTTGATGTGTGAAAAGAGAAAATAAAACCAACTACTGTAAGGAAAGGGACAACTACCTATTGCATTGGCTAGGATGAATTATCATGTTAAGTTATGTAATGGGTTTTGATTAATTGGCAGCGGTGGTTGTGCTGTATTTAGACCGTAGGGTGTCTATTTTCGGATAGGGACGGTTAGACATTGCCAATTTGCCATTATGTAAAATTTATTTTACAAATTCTAATTTACCATTATGTTGAAAAATTCTAGTTTCGCTTCTCACCACTATTATCTTGGTGAAAGCTGGAAGATGATGCTTTCAAGAAGGGAGGAGAAGAAAGCATTTATGATTGTAAACCTTTGTTGATGGACATCACATGTTCAATAGTAATTTATTTTATGGAGGTCCCTATATCTCCCATACTTGTATCATATTTTCTAATTTTTATTTATTTATTTATGAACACTTTTTAAACCCATTTGTGATTCACAATGCCTCCCTTTTGTTTTACTTCTTTCAGTACTTTTTTTATACTCTCTTCCAAATAAAATACCATAAGCAAAAGATCTTCTAATATGTGCCCTAGAGCACTTGTTAAGGAATAAAAAAAATAGTGTTTTTGCCTTGAAAACAAACAACTTTTATACACAATTGTTTATACAAAATATATGAGTGGTCAACGACTATCAATTGTCTTTGAATCCCTTCATCATCAGCCGAAGCTCCAATATATAATTGTTGTACACATACATTTTTAGCCTGGTATAAAAACATAAACTTCAAACCAACCCCAGAAAATATGCTATGACATTACTTTAGTATATTCACCCTGAATTTGAAAGAGCTGTTTGCAATACATCTTCAAGATGTTTTTCAGCAGCAGCAAACTGCCTTTTTTTATCTTCAATTGCTAATGCAGCCAGAGCTTTATCCTGGATGATTCCAACCCGCCAAAAAATATCAGAATAAACGCAACAAAGTTCTTCTATTTTACTCCAGAACTAAAACAGAGGGCATGAGAAATAAGACATACCGGAGGCAAATCTTGGTAGCTCCTAAGAGTATCAAGGATGGGCTTAGTTTTCTTTTCCAGCTCCTTCCTATGCTCAGCCATTTCAACCAGAACACTGTGGCTGACCTCTGGTGTATAGCCTGTATGGTTGAGCACCGCCTGCACCAAATTTTATTCAGCATTCAAGAGATTAAAATATTAAAAATCACAATGCAATGATAATTTGTACATTAGATTTAGTCAGATTATAATATGTTATCCGCAAAAAACTAGAAGAGTTAATTTTTCCATGAGATTGTTCAACTGTGGGTACCTACCAAGATTTTGGAAAAATCTCATTTGTGATCAAATTTATTTTGGTTTGTTGCATTTCGACACTGTATAGGTAATTCTTAATAGTTGAATGACTGTAGAAATATATTTCTTTGCACGCAAAGTTGGTAATTAGAAGTAATGTAAATATTGACTGCAATGTCTGCTTTTGTTTTAGATATGCACGTTAGTAAAGAATCGCACTTGGTCAAGTTCAAATAATACCACTCGAGAGAATACATTTTCTCGTTTTCAACATTTGATGATCTTGGTGGATTAGAGACATGGCTGAAAATTTCTATACTAAACATTTTTAAGTATTAGTCTATAGAAGTAAATGTAGGTTCAGAAGTTTCTCTCAAAATCAACCATACTTCTAGCAATCCCTCGCTAAAAAAACATGTCGTTATTTTCTAAAAATAATAATAATAATTAGATTGCTATAAAAGTATGTGTCAGACAAAGCTGGCTGAATTGTGAGTGGGAAAAGAGTCATACAGCATTGTCAAATTTGATTTACATTTCTACAGAATTGTTTCTATGAGAATGATAGGCACCCTCACACAACTCGGCGATACAGCAGGAGAATATACAGTAGCAGCAAAGAATCGGTAGCCATGTGACCATGTAAGAAAGGTGAGTGATTTGCATATTATCAGATTATTTTTGCAAGAGACTATAATGAGGTTGATAGACTTATTATTATGGGTAGTTATTTTTATTGATGAGCAGTTATGGGTAGTTATCTTTATTGATGTCAGTTATGTGTACGTATGTGTTTCTGTTTTAGAATAAATAGAGAAAGAAAAAGAGAAGGTATAGTTATTGAATGGTTTTGGCATTTCTAGTTAACTAGCATAACATTCACATGTACTAAATCAAGATTGATTGACAGTGATGGAGTTTAGTTTTGCCGTGGAAAAGAAGAAAATAAAACCAACTACTACTATATTGCATTAGTTAGGCTCAATCCTCATAAGTTATGCAACGGACAAAGGATGAATTGTCTGTAATCAAGTACCGCACAGTTTTAATTAATTGACTGCGGTTGTTGTGCTGCATTTAAACCGCATGACGTCCATTTTCAACAGAGACTATCAGATGTTTCCATTTTACAAATATTAATTTGTTTATGAATATAGGAACTACAAATTGTATATTTTATAAAAGTAACTTTATCTCTAAGCATAAATACAATCATATTTCAACATTTTATCTTATATAAAAAAATTATTTCAGTATTTTATTATTGCATAAACTAAAGATGTACTTTAAAAATAATATTACAAAATGAAAAATGATTAAAACTTTGTACAACATATATTTCCCTAGTGATATACATTTATTGAATTATTTTTCTTGTGTGAAATTAAAAACAAAATTGCTAGATTATAAGAATAATTAATCAATTTTAATTAGGTTTTTTACTTACAAAATTTTAAAATAAGTCTGTTTTTATACAACTATAGTAGAAAGTTGATAGGTACTCCTATGTTTGTTAGAGATGACATATTAAATTGTCAGGATTACAATGATCAATAAGGCACGCATTACTTAAATTAGTAACATAAATTTGTATGCACCTAACATGTTGGTAATTTAACCAATAGGGGTTACAGGGGAATGGATTTGCTACCTTTACTGTTGGATAACTTTCATAACTGTGTGTGCGCGCGCCTGAGTGAGAGGAAAAATACCAAAGGCGTCAAAGTCCAAAGGTAGCAAATCCCTCCCCGGATTATAAGCTATACGGGGAGGGTCATCTTTTACTCCACTTTCTTTATCTCTCTCCTATATTACTCTCTTCCATTTTGACTACCCACTCCCCGTCACTATTATAAACAAAAAGTCACTTTTCAAATTCATTAAATAACTTGTGATCAATTATTCAATAAACTTGAAAAATGAAATTCATTGAATAACTCCTCTATGGAGGAGTTGAGCAAAAGACTTGTTAATCAGCTTAAGGCTCTCTTTAGTAAGAAATAGTGGGTATCAGAAAAGTTAGCGAGATGAACTTATGGGTCATAGATAAGTTATCTAATTAAATTTGTAGTGTTTTATAAAGTTAGCACTTAAGCTAACTTATAAATATGAAATGACATAAAACAATGTATGATTAGTATTTATTTATTTTTATAACAAAGGTAAAATAGAAAAAAATTTATAAATTATAAGTATAAAGCTATAAACTACTTGAATTAGCTTATAAAAAAATTTATAAGCTAGTAAAGTAAGCTATGAGCATGTGAGAAAATAATGTTGTCAAGTGGATCTTTTTTAAATATATGGGCTTTTCAGCTATAAGCCATAAGCTCAGAAAATAACCATGCCAAATAGAGCCTAAGTCCAACAAGTTTTGCAGCAAAATTATAGCGGTGTAGTGTGGCAGCACAACCCCTCACTGCTACATTATTGGCCTGCGGAGCGCTATTGATGATAGTGGTCAGAGGCCACGAATAGTGGTTTCGTAGAGGCGCAATGGGGGCATGTAGTAGTGTCATTGCAGTTTGTTGGCCGGTATTCTCAATTTGGGACAAAATCATAAACCCTGATATTTTGAAACGTATGTTTTAATTTTTTTAAAGGATATTTTGGTCCTTCCCACCCTTTTCTAGGTCATCGTTCTCCCCGGCCTTCGCTTTTTTCCACCGCATCTTCTGCATTCTTCCTGTTTTCCGCCATTCTCCTTTGCTTCTTCGCCGTTCTCTTTTCTCTTATGATTTCTTGTTCTGCTTCACCATGTTTCACAGCTACAACTTTTGTTCTGTTTGCCTTGTCCGGTTTCTCTTTTGATAACCATAGCATCAACATCCTCTGCCTCTGCAAGTGTAACACCAATCTCCAGCAACAAAGGTTATTTTAAACCTATTGGTGACAGTTATTTTAAACCTATCAGTGACAACCTTGATATTGGTTGGCAGTGGAACTCTTATAAAGACCAGAACAAGAAAACAATTATTTGTGATTTTGTTAACTTTGTGAGCACCCTTCAGAGAATGGAATAACACGAACTAAGAAGCATCAATTGGGAAGAAGAGGAGAAGTAAAATTTGCAGAAAAATACGGGTTGATCTTAAACAAATATTGGAAGAGAGTTATAAAATATGAGATAAAAAGCAAGTTGTTGATAATGCGCATATGTCTGAGGTTAATATCAATGAGGAGGTGGATGTGCAGGAATACTTTTATAATTTGATTTTGATGGAAACTCATTTTTATGGGATATGTATGTTGGAGTTAATGTTTATTGTTGGAATCTTACTATGTATGTTGTTACAATTTCTCTTTTGATGTATTTATGTATGTGTTGGGATTTATGTTTAATATGTACATTGTTTTTTAGTCTTTCCAATAGCGGTTATCCTATTATTAGCATTTTGGGGGATCGATGCGTACATGTTGCAATTTCTGTTTTTAAAGTATTTATGTATGCTGTTGGAATTTATGTTTACTATGTACATTGTTTTTTAGTCTTCGCAATAGCGGTCATCCCGCTATCCGCTATAGCATTTTGGGGGATTGGCGCGTCAGAGATTAACAACCTAGGTTTTGCTCCTCTCAAAATAAACTTATTGGCATGAGTATTGAACTTGGAAAAATCCCAAAGATGGGACCCAAAGAGGTGAGCCATTGGATACCCAAATTAAGTCACATGTGGTAGGACAAATACATTAGCACTAAATGTAGATTGTTGCAGCGACCATGAAAAGTTTTTGCAAATGAATGGAGCTTCTAATTTGGTTCCCCCGCCAGCAGTCACAAATATAGGAGCAGACCTCAAGATCCAAAAAATCATGTGTGCTTCCACCATCCAATAAAATGTGTAACATTTGTTTGTTGTGGGTTCCTATAACCCGCACAGTGTGAGTGAAAGTTGACAGTCCCAGACGTAGCATTAAGGGGTAAGAGTGGGGTTGCAGCGAGAATACTTCCAGCGCTGGTTTTCCAGGGTCGAGAATGGATAGGGATGGCTCCTCAATCTGAATGTCATCTTCCATTTCCATGACAAAACCTGGGCCTGTTTATGCTACAGCTGATGACCCGTACAAAAGGTTCATCACAGAAAATGCAAAGATCTATGACCCTGAGTTAGCCATTTCTGCAGCATAAGGTTCTGGGGGGACGGTTTATCAAAGGTTTCTGGGAAGGCGTTTGGGTCCGGTAAGGTAGTAGGAGGTGGTCTTTTGGGTAATGTAAAGGTTTAAAGTCAAATTTAGTGGATGTAGGTTTGGAGGCTTCATGTAAACGAGCTAGGTTTGCAGCTTGGGGAATGGAGGTGGGATAAAACATGCAACATTTTGCGTACTAGTAATCTAAGCCAGACGTAAAGATACTCAATGAGTGCTTGGGGACTGGAGTAACAATACCAGAGTCAAAGCAAATTCAGAAGCATCAGTGTACTCTGGTACAGAGTTGGTATGTTTGACTTGGATAAGGTTGGTCAACATGTCATCATATAATGGGCCAAAACGCAGGGCAATGTCGGCTAGACATTTAGACCATGGTGGGTAAACATCAAATTTATCAGGCATGCAATTGCGGTGCCACTGCAGAACAATGCTGTCTAAGTGGATTGAGGCGAGACAGACCTTGGATTCATTGGGCATGCCTTCCAGGTAGAAGAATTGGGTGTATTTGTATAACCATTCTTACAACTGGTTGTCGGAATAACTGGGTGTATTTGTACAACCATTCTTTCAACTGTTTGTCGGAAGAACTGAGTACAACCATTCTTTCAACTGTTTGTCTTCAAAATGTAGAAATTCCAATTTGGAGATGCAAGTGGAGTATGAATTGTGACCGTGAACAAGCGGGCCGTTGTGGTTGCCACAACGGTTGTTGATGGATGAACCATTAGGTCGGTGACGAGCTGCTTGGTTGTGGATGAAGGTGCAAATTTCTTCCATGCGAACTATGAGATCAGCACATCTATCACCGACCTTTTTCTCTAGGTCAGCCAAGGTTTGATTGCGTATCATCATGCTTGGGACTGATACGGATTGAGATGTGATTTGAATATTCGGGTTGTTAACCAAGAATAACCCCAACTCAACATAGGCAATTCAGATTTAGAATGAATTCTGTTAAGGTGAGTTGCTTTAACAGAATTTCAGAGGATTTAGGGAGAGACTTGATTGTTGAATTATTAGACCCTTTTTCATTTGGCCACCAGGCTCTATTTAACAAGCAAGTTTGTTACAGATGGGAATATTCTAACCACCTCATTTTCTATAAATATACTGCAGAATGCAACACGTGTCCACTTGGAAAATACAGAAAAATACATAATAGGAAATAAGGAAATACAGGCTATGAAAATAATATGAAATAAAAGTAATTTCATCTGGTTCTTGTAGCAGTATGATTAGTTGATTACTGTGACATCCTACCCAGGAAACATCTAGGCTTTAGTGTATAGAAGGTAATATAGTATAATTAGTGTCTATTTTTTAAATGGAGGCTATCAGATTATCGGTCAAAACTATAACTTTGGCAACAGTCAATTCTGCAGCAGCCCACTTCAATTCTGTGTATTCTAATTCAGCGGAAATCTGTTTCCTCAGAATATCATTAATAACTATGTCTCCATTCAGTGGATTTTTAATAAGGATTGACCAAACATCCTTTTACACAAAATTTCTAAATTCACACATGCCCTCTTCCATCCAAATTTATCCTATTTATACATTACCTTCCCTCTAACTACATTGCTTCTCTAATTGTTCAAGTCACTTCTGGTTTTTCAATATTCAAACTCTATGCAACAAAACCAGTTTTATGAGTAGGGGATAACTCCCCTCTTCCCCACTGGCTGAGGTTATTTTTCTACTGGTTGGCCTCTGTTCCAGTCCGTTTTACGAACTATCTTGAATGCTAAGATAACCCAACAGCATTTATTATCTAGCGTTTAACATCAAATACACTCACCTAATTTTCTTGTTCCTCTCGAAACACATCTCAACTTAAAGAACCAAATTCAATAGCACCCCCTTCCCCCTCAAAAAATATTTAAAAAAACTGTGTACCTTATAGTTGGCAGATTGTTGTATGTACTGCCTTTCTTTTGCAGCCATCACTTGCAAGTTTGTGCTCCAATTATCCATTTGAGCTTGACACAGAGGTAGTTCATGGTCCAATTGGTTGTATGTTCTGCACAAGCATTGCGTCATACTAAACAAGTGAGGAACAAAAGAACATCGTATGCCAAAAGCTCGGACATTTTTCCCCCTTGAGCACATTACTGTAAGCTTTTGTGAGACAAATTAAAACTTTCTAGTTTTATGTAGACCTTCTAATTCGTCGTAGTATTTTCACAAAAGTTTTCTACATTTTAATTTGTTGATTCTAATATATAATTCTTCAAATTATTCACTACCAAGTTATTTATCAAGCTACAAAATTTAGTTCTACCTTTTCAAATAATTTAGCCTGGATAAAGCCTTTCTAGTATAATCGAGAAGAAACTTCGACTCTTTCTTCACTTTAGCCCTTTTTTCCTCCACACCAATCTTCCTCAGGGAAATATCACCCATTGCCACAAGATAACTAAAAAAAAAAACAGTTCTGAAATTCAAAATTTAAAACAGAAATCAAGTAAACAAACAAAAACGGTGAGAGTGAAACTCACCTACTAAGTTCAGTATCTCTGATATTCAACAAGTTAGACACATTCGCAAGAACCTGCGCAGACGCGACCACACTAGATGGCAAACTCTCCTGCGCCAAACCTACATTCTCAAGAATTTCCCGAATCCTTGCAGCTACAATGCAAAATCAAATCGAAATACATTTTAGAAAGAGAGAAAAATAAAAGGAACCTAACCTAACCTAACCCTAACTGCTACTAAATGAAGTGATTACATTACCTTGGGATCTATATTCGGAGGCTTTGAGTCGAAAATCGCGCGCGACGAGACGAGCGGCTTCATCTTTGGCTTTGGAGAGTGTAGAGAGATGGTGCAGGTGAGAAACGCTGCGCGGAGTGTATTGGAATTCCGGAACGGGTTTGCCGGCGACTTCGAAGGTTTTGGCGAGCCATTCTTTGACTTCGGCGATTCCGGATACTTCTGTGGATACTGATGGCTCTTGATCGGTCATTGATTTTTTCACGCGGTTGCAGTTTTTGATGAACGAAAGGAGAATGAGTCGCAAATGTCTCAGATCTGAAGATGGATTGGAACACTCGCGCTGCAGTTTGGGTAGAAGCAAATGGCACTGACAGTCCTAGGGGAAAAGCGGATCGACGTTGAAATTTCGAATTTCCGAAACTGAAGATAGGAATCTTCCTCTATGAATGAATTGAGTTTAAATAGCAGGATGCAACCCAAAAAGAATAAGTAAATTTATTATTTATAATTAATTATTAGGCTCATAAACCATCTCCCATTTACTCGTCTATGAAATTGATACTAGAAAAATAATAAGGTGTTTTGGGAATGAAATTGAATAGAATGAAATAAATTTATATTTTACTATTTAGATTAATGAAATGAAGCAGAATTTGATAGAGTATGTTAATTAGAAAAAATGGAATGAAACGGAATTTAATAGAATATGTTTTAATTAGAAAAATGGAATGAAGCGGAATTTAATAGAGTAGGTTTATATGAGTTTTGTTAAATCAATTCACTTGATGGTTGTATAGAGATATATAACATGAAAGAGCATGATTCAAATATGCAACATCTCATTTATTCATTTTTAAAATATAAATTTTATCCACTAGATTATATGAACAAAAAAAATATATAATTCATCTCATTACGTCCTTTTTTTTTTTTGTAGCGGATATTGCAGAGGCTAGGCTAGCTTGAGCACTTTATGAAGGTTCAACGTGTTATAGATAAAGCAAGTTTGACCCTGATAGCTTAAGGCGAGTTTAGAATATTGCAGACATATTAGTAAATAATCCATGAAGCACGAGGTCTATGAGAGTGAAGCGATTTATACAATACTTGACAATTCATGGTCCCTCGGGCATGAGGCATGTAAAGGGAAATTGATTTAAGAAATATTTGATAGATCACAGATCCTAAAGTATGAGGTACGTAATGGTGGAGTGATTTAAAAAATATTTGATAAGCATGAGGACAGTAATGGCAAGATGATTTAAGCAATTTTTTATAGTTCACAATCCCTCAAGCACGAGGCATGTAAAGGCGACGTGATTTAAGCAGTATTTGATAGATTGTAGTTCTTCAAGCACGAGATATGTAAGTAAGAAGTGATTTAAAAAAAGTTTGATAGATCATAGTCTCTAAAGCACGAGCCTTGTAAGGGAAAATTGATTTAAATAATATTTGATAAACATGAGGACAATAGGGACAAAATTATTTAAGTAATATTTGATAGTTCATAATCCATCAAGCATGAGGCATGTAAGGGCGAAGTGAATTAAGAAGTACTTGATAGATCGTAGATTCTAAAACATGGGGTCTACAAGGACAAAGTGAATTAAACAATATTTGATAAATCATAGTCCCTCACGCATGAGGCTTGTAAGGGCATATTGATTTAGGGAGGTGAGTTATTAGTTCGTCAAACGTCATGTCACTAAGGCCAATGTAAATTTCACAAGTTTAATTTAAATGAGACTATTCAACATTTAAATGAAAAGACTTGGGACTGACCTTTTAAACTTCATTCTTAAGCGTGTGATCAATAAGTTTGTATAAAAAATGAGCACTTAATTAGGGACACTTATTTTATTTGCATGCGCGGAAGTGGATTCATTGATGTTCTATTATGCTAATGATGTTTTTAGCTAGAAATGCATGTTTACAAATGTATAAATATCAAATTTGTTGTCTCTTGTGAAATGAAACCATGTTTCCTATAAAGTAATATTTCGTTGATCTCGCCTTTCTCTCACACTCAGTCCCATCAACTCTTCTTCTCCTTTTAGCTTTCCATTTTATTATTTGTTGTAAGTGTGCCTTAAAATCTTTGTTGATGAAGAGAAAGAAAACATATATTTTAAGATTGCATTTACCGCAAAATTAGATGTTTTAGAAAGTTAGACGAAAAGTCGGGGGGAAAATGGTCGGTGAATAGTGTCACCTATACGGTAAATAGTGATATCTGTACGGATGAATAGTGATGTTCATACGGTGAATAGTGATATCCGTAAGGATGAATAGTGACGTCCGTACGGTGAATAGTGACGTCCGTATGGTGAATAATATTTTCGAGTTTTTAGGCTTTTTTCGATTCTGTCTGTAGATCCATGTGATTTTGGGCTTTGTTTGTTGGGTATTTGTTATTATAAATATGTATCTCTTATATGTTTGGTGTGTGACAATCTTAGAGTTTACACCAACAAGGGAAAACAAGGGTTTAAAGGCATACTATAGGGTTTCAGCTATGTACAAAGAAAACCTTGGATTACACCTTGGGTTTGAGTGATTCATATATTAAGAGTTGGAGAGGTGGGGAAACACTTGGGTAGAAAATGGGGTTGTTCTTGGGCGCCTTCAAGGTTGTTCTTGGAAACCTAAAGGCGAAGGTTATTTTCTTGTAACTCATCTATAATCTCTTGTAACAACTTTCTGAGTATAGTGAATTGGAGAGCTGCTCTCTCTTCTAGAGTAGATCGTTTGATCAAACTGGGTAAACAAACCTTCGGGTTTTTTCTTATCTTATTCTGTTATATTATTTGTGTACGGATTATTATTGTTGTAGTCCATTTATTATGGTTGTTATTGTTCTTTGCCTCACAAATTGATATTGAATTTTGTGGTAATTCACAACAAGATTCACAATATTATTCTATAACGGTGTTCAGTAGGGATTGTGATGATAATGGTAATGTAGTCGAGCTAGATACCCATGAGGAAAAATGGGAGTTATTACGTCGTTGTAATGAGATTTCTAGGCGATGTAGATGGGAATGTAGATTGGCAGTTTGTCGAAACAAAAATGTTTGGGTGATACAACAATAGTTCTTGTAACTCTAATAGTGACAACAACAAAGATAGTGATGTTATTTTAATGTCTTATTACCAAGGGTTGGAGAAACCTCTATTGGTGAGTTTGAACGTGAGCATGATTTCCTTTCATAAGGTGTTGAAGAGGATATAATTTTTCTTGTATGCCCATAATTTGTGAAATTCAAGTGTAGGCATGGCAACAGGGCGGGTCGGGGGCAGGTTTAAGCAACCCTGCACCCGCCTTCTTGAAACAGACCCGCCCCTACACCCGCACCCAGTCGGGGGTAAAAAAACTACCACCCAGACCCGCCCCCAATGGGGAACGGGTTCCCCGCCCCTACCCGCAAACCAATTTTTTTAAAAATAAATATTTTTTTCATAACAATAAAAATTAATAATTTAATTTAAAAATTAATCATTTTAATAATAAACATGTTTCTAAAGAGTAAAATAACTAATAAACATATTTTTCTAGTAATACTATTTCTAAAAATTAAAATAACTATAATAAATATATAATAAAATAATTAAAATGAGGCATAAAAGTAAATTAAAGTAGACTGGGGCGAGGCCGGTTGCGGGGCGGGTAGTAGCAGCCCTCTCCCCCACACCCGCACCCGTAATAGAAAATCGGGATTTACCCGCACCCGCATCAATCTAAACCGGGTTTCCCCTGTTAATTTCAGAGCGGGTCTGGGTTTCCTTGTCATGCCTATTCAAGTGTCATAGCCAATTTTATAGTTCTTATACTTCTACGCAAGTGTCATAGCCGGTTTTAGAGTAAGCATTTTGTTCATTTTATTTGAGGTTAAGGTTTTGAAGGCGATCAACGTAGCCCCTTCTCAATTACACTCAAATAATTGGGCTTCCGTGAGAGAGTTTGGGATTATGCCTAGAGTCGTAGGAATCACTTATACTGTGGGTATCTTATTCTCTTTTTATGGAATAACTGGTGTTGACAAAGGCAATTAGGTATCATTGAATGCCCTTACTGGTAGGGTTTCTTACCCACTTCACTTTGAACTACAAAAACTAGAAAAACATATTATTAAGAGTTTGAGGCAACATTGGTTACCCTGACATTATCTATGAATAGGATTGGAAACATTGATTCTCGCTTTATTGGACAAGCAAGCCTATATCAATCATCGGGTATAATTTTGACAAGCTCGAAAAAGTCAAATAAGATGGTGTACCGTTTCTAAAACAATTTTGGTTATGAATGTTAAAGAGCTTGTATATTACTAAGGTGATAAAATGGAAAATGATAGTTACTTACTTAAGTTGTTTTACTTTACCTACTTTTTCTCTCGATTTATTTATTATCTTCTAACACGCCTAATTTGTTTACAGAAAAAATGACTTTGTTGTAAATATCTCAAAGAATAATTGGGATAAAAAATATTGTTCTCTTTGTAATCTAAAAGAACAATTTTTAATAATTGCATAATATTTGTAAAATATATATACGCTACTGCAACGAAATATAAAATTTATTGTCTATTATACTTTATGAGAACAACTTTTTTATCCCTAAAAAATTAGGTGTTTCCGTAGAGTAAAAATATTGTAGTTGGAATGTGATATTAGAAAACGCCAAAAACATGAGAGGCGGAGTGAGGGCTTCTAACCAAAAAACTAACCTTGTCGATTTATTAACCATGGTCACTAAGAAAATGAGAGTGGCGACTAAGGATCGAGTCATCCCAACTGTGGTTATTTTCGTTTGTGATCATTTTCGCCTTCGCCTAGATCTAAAAGACAAAAGGTTGACTTGAGAAAAAAATCCAATCAATTTAATGAGGTTTTCACAATAAATTGAGAGATGAAAAATCATCTTAAAAACGAAAAAGTGAGATCTTCTCATCACACTTCCTCTACAACGTCCCTTAAAAACACAAAAATCTTATTTGTTTGTGTAATGTATTATTACTCAAATAATCCCAAGTGTTATACTAAACAAAACTTGGCTAATATAAATAGCATCACACCAACAACATTACAAATAATCAACATAAAAAGTTGTGGTATTTGGATCAAACTCTAGTGTCGACAAGGGCAGCTTCATGGTTTGACAGAATTATGTATGTTGTAGTCGAAGTCTATTCGAGCATAATATTGAAATATATTAACTTGTAATTTAAGTTAGTATGTCAAATTAGGTCTTAC